AGCGGTAACGTTATAACATAGGTTGTAATAGTCCAAAGTCCATTACTGTCGATTAATACTTAATTAGATTAGTGAATAGAGTTGTCTGGTAACCACCTGATTGTGGGATTTCCCAAAGTGTATATATATATGGTATATATTAATCGTATTAAACGTAAACCTCTTGTCTATATCTTGTTCGTAAGTGAAATGAATTTTTATTCAGTAAATCGATATAAAATCAGGTAAGTGATAATAATAACGTACTTCACAATATTTTTTCGTGATGGTTAAATTAAAATTGCCGAGACAGCGATACAGGGTCGCTAAAAAAACATCTGAAATTTCTTTATTAATAGCATCTATATAATACCAAAAAAAAAAATATACCTTTAGTCAGAAATACGCAGATAATAATAACTGCACTACGAATAAATTAAATGTACAATTCCAGTTGCCTGTTACATCCCGTTTTCCAGAAAATAATATCTCTAAAAATGAATCTGTAATAGATATATTTCTTAATCACGAAAATTTATTATTATTATCGGTAAATTTGCTTAATTAGTTTTGTGTAGAAATACTTGCAGTTAATATGTTTTAGGCACAAGAAGTTATAAGAATTGGCGGACATACCTACTCCCTACGAATTTGTAAAGAGGGTGTTTACAAAAATTTTGTCGGACGATATTTCCGTAAGATATAACTGGTTAGGTGCCAAACAAAGGAAGTATTTTGTCATCTCCATCTATCTAGACTGATAATAAGTAAGTTACTAATTAATAAACTAGGATAAGTTTTCATTAAGTAAATTTTCTTTTCTATTCCACAGATGCTGCTAGATTAAATCCAGCAAAATCCAGTTGTTCAAGTAAGAATCTAGAAGAAGCGATAAAAAATTGCGAAGAGCAAAAGAACGGTTAATCACCAAAAGTATACGAAATTCCTTATTGTAATATTGGTACCTTGTATTTATCCATAACATGTTCAAATAAGTATTTTTTTATTTGTATGCAATAAACTTAGATAGAGATTTATATGAGTTTGTATAAAGACAGCCTATTCCATCAAAAAGTAGGATAGCAAACAATACAATATATATGTATCTTTCCTAAAATGTCCTGTAAATATCCCGTCCGTATGTTTTTCTAATGTGTATATTTTATGAATGTATGAAACTGTGACATTCGTCTATCCATACGACATCCTGAAGACGTCCGCCGAACATGAAACGGATCTGTATAAGATATCCTTAAAATCCCAGATGGATGTTCTTTTAACATCCTATGGATAAACATGTGCTGTATGGGAATCATCAATATTTGTTATTGACTGTATGTCTGCCACACGATTAGCAACAAATGTATTTAATTGATGTGGGGATGTTTTTATCCAATGAAGAACAATGATTGAATCGGACAATAACTTGATTTTATTGAATGATATCTTTAATGATTCGCAAACTGCTTTCAAAAGCTTTGAGAGTAATTGTGCGGCGCATAATTCTAGTCTAGGTATGCTCATAGTTTTGAGGGGAGCAACGCGAGATTTAGCACAAATTAACTGAACAGCGCATTGATTACTTTTGTCAATTGATCTTAAATGCAAACATGCTCCATATGCATACTCGCTCGCGTCACAGAAGCCGTGTAATTGTATATCTATAGGATTTGTTAAAACTATTTTTCTTGGTACCTTAAATTTATTTAACAGAGGCAATTCATTTTCTAAATTGGCCCATTTGGTCGAAATACTTTGTGGAACGGACTCATCCCAATCTAATTTAGCTTTCCACAATTCTTGCATGATACATTTAGCTAAAATAATAACCGGACCAGATAGTCCTAAGGGATCATAAAACTGGGCAATTTATGTTAATATGTTACGTTTCGTTACACGAATATCGGGACAGATTGGTTTAAAATTACATTTTTTTGGCACTAGTATTAAAATCGATATTTTCCGAATTCTGAAATTCATTTAAAACTTCTATTTTATTTGACGCCCATTTATGCAATGTAAATCCCCCTTATTTTAATAATTCTATTAATTGCCGCTTAATTTCTAATGCATCCTGAATATTACTTGCTCCAGTGAGTAAGTCGTCTACATAAAAATCATTCTTTAGACTTGTTGCTGCTAAAGGAAACCTATAACCCTCATCGTCAGCTAATTGTTGAAGAGTTTCAGTTGCTAGATACGAGGCAGGTTTAGTACCCTGAGTAACTGTGTTTAATTTAAAAATACGGATTGGTTCACGTTCTGATTCACGCCATGACATTTTTTGATATATGCAGTGCGAGTCATTTACCTTTATTTGACGATACATGTGTTTAACATCAGCCGCTATAACTATTTCTGGTAAGCGAAATCTTACAACAAAAGAAAAAATGTCATCTTGTATTGTAGGTCCACGCAATAGGGTGTCATTTAGTGATATGTTGCTTAGAAAAGTTTTCGCGGATGTATCAAACACTATCCTAATTGTTGATGTTAAATTATCAATTTTAATTACTACTTGATGATTTATGTAATACCCTTGCAGTTTGTTATCATCGTCAGTTATTTCATTCATGTGTCCTAAATCTAAATATTCTTGTATTGCTTCGTTGTATTGTTTCTTAACCTGTAAATTTATTGATAATTTTCTCTCTATAGAATAAAAACGCTGTAATGCAACATCATATGATTGACCCAGTTTGTCTCTTCTATCGTTAAATGGTTGATTTACAATATATCTGTCATCTAAGTTGCGTGTCGTTGTTTTTTGATGTATTTCTTCGCATAATTTTTCCTCCAATGATAAATGTTTTTTATAAGGTACTTCTTCTACTTCCCAGAATCTATTAATTTGTTCATCTAATGACCTAACTATATGGCAATAATTGTAATCCTCATTCTGTTTTTTCTTTTCGATTATCCCTACTTCGCCTACAGCTAACCAACGTAAGAGGGTTTTTTGTAAAATAATATCCGTCTTATCGCAAGGCCTAATTTGACCGATACTTAATAATTTATAAAATAGTGAAGTTCCTAACAAGGCATCAATTCGCGCGGGCGTGTTAAATTCTGGATCGGCCAATTGAATATTTTTTGGAATCGATAAATTATGTTTGTTTATTTGACGAAATGGTAATGTACCTGTTATGCGAGGAAGAACTATAAATTCCACATTTGTTTAAAATGTGTTGTTAGCCTTAACACGAAACTTAGCACGTGTTGTAAGCTGTCCCAAACCTGAAAACGGTAGATATATGACTTCTTGTTTTAAATTTATTTTTTTAGCAAATTGCTCAGAAATAAAATGTGTTTGTGAACACCCGTTTAACAGAAAACGGCATTCTTGTGACTTACCGTAACCATCGAATATTTTTATGCGACCTGTTCCTAGCAATACCTCTGTATCTGTTGTGATTGAATTAACACTGTGTTGGATTATCAATTTCATCTAATGTTATATGCGTTTGAATATTATTAGATTTTTGTTTTTGTTTATTGCTACTCTCAGATTTATTTGTATTATTAGACACATCGAAATGCAATAATGTATTATGTCGTCCATGACATGCCCTATATCCTGAAGCAGAACATTTATTTGTTGCATGATTATCGCGTAAGCAATTGATACATAATCGCCGCTCTCTCACAGCATCACCCCTATCTCTTCGACTCAATGCTAAAAACCTTTCATATTTATATATAAAATGATTACCCTTACAAAATTTACAAAGTGATGTATTTTGAGTTCCTACAAATGCTTTTGCTCGAGGATTTGACTTTAAATTTTATTAGAACATTTATAACGATTATTATGGTTAGTATTATTGGACAAATCTAATTCATCCCCTCGCGCTTGTTTGCTCAAAAAATCAGTTAATTCTAAAAAACTCGGCATTTGTGAATTTTCTAACGTTCTTTCCCACGCTCGGCGGGTACCTTTATCTAATTTTTGAATGATAATATAAACTAATATTGCGTCCCAAGAATTTACGCGTTGTTTTAATGCTTTCAACGCATTAACGTGCATTAATGCTTTTTACATCAATGCCCTTATATTGAGCGAAGATTCCTTTGAAACTTCAGGGATATAAAGAATTGCCCTAATATGAGTTTGAACTATAATGCGCGGCCTATCGCATTGTTGTTTTAACAAATTTCAAGCGACAAGATAATTTTCTTCGGAAGCTGCTAGAGGATCAATTATTGAGATCATTTCTCCACGTAACGCATTTTTTAATAAATGAAACTTTTGGACTGCGGGAATAGCATTATCATTATGAACTAACGATTGAAATGTATCATGAAAACTATACCACTCTATAGGATTTCCATCAAACGGTCTTATTACTATTTTAGGCAATAATGCATTAATTTGTTGTACTTTATTTTCAGAGTCTACAGATTTAACTGATTTAGAGGAATTTGATACTGAAGAACTTAAACTACGTAATTTTTGATTTATAATTTTTGCACATTTAAAATATAGATCATCGAATTCAGAACGTTCCGTTTCTTGCACATTTAATAATTCCGTTGATTCTATTTCTTCTAAATATAACTCAAATTCAAATTGGTTATCTGAAAATTTCTGAAAATATTCTTCTAATTTGCTTTTACGAGTTTGAACATCATCTAAATCGCACATAGTGTTATTATTTAGATAATTAATTAATTTCGATATATTTGCCTTACAGACAGAACGTGTTTTAATATAGGCTTTGCTTTTTGTGTCAGCCATGATAATAGAAATTGAATCAATCTTTATAAAAAAGGATTGTGTAGATACAAAGGAAAATTAGAGATTATTAAGAGCCTACCTTAGTGTTGATGATTTTCTTGATTGAAACCAAACGAGATCCGTGAATGTTGAAGTTGGAGTATGATGTCCACAAGATTTGCAATCCTCCTGGTCCAAACGGGAACAACAGGAACGACTTCTGCTTGACGGTGCTCAATCCAAACAGGATGTATTTGCAACCGAATGATTTGCCACAACACACAGTTGTAATAATTTCTTGATGTTTTATCACTCGTTTTTTAATCCGGCTCGAAGGACCATTTTATGTTTGTTGTGAGAAAATAAATTTTAATTGAAAGAGTTCTTTCTGGTATTCTCACTTTACACGCCAAATTAATTGCGAGCAAACTATTTTATGTAAATGATAACGATTGTTGTTTTAAATATTTAATAGTCAACACTTAACTTACACGTAGAATTAAAATAAAACTAAATAAATAAAATTAGTATGCAAAATAAAATAAAACATAGTATTGTAAAGATGCAACATGCCGCCCGCCTTGAACGACTGCCGTTCAAAATGTAATTAAGCACTATAACTATTAGACTAATATTGGTAAGAAATAAGGAAACAACTACAATAGCTTATGATTAATGTAAAGTATATGTAGGTAAAACCTAAAACCGCAATAGAAACGACATCACTAATTTTTGCTTCTATTGGCAGCGGTGATAGTTTTTTGACACTTCTTTTGTAAATCCCGGTTTTAGTTTTCACTATA